GGGTGGCCTGCTGGGGTGGGGGAGGGAGCCAGAGCTTGTGGGGACACGCCTGCAGGAGCCGGAGCTGGCGGGGATGGCTGGCTCATGCGCAGGAGGGGAAAATCTAAAGTATCATGACAGACAGACAAGATTGTCTAAAACAAAAGTGGTCATAAATGCAGGGGGTCGTAAGTAGGGCGGTTGTAAGTTGGGGGTCACCTGTATCTAGTTCTTTTTTGAATCCTGTTAAAGCCCTGGTCTTCACAACATCCCCTGGCAAGGAGTTCCACAGGTTGACTCTGCCCTGCATGATGAAAAACTTCCTTTGGTTTGTTTTAAACCTGCTGCTTATTAATTTCATTGGGTGACCCCTAGTTCTTGTGTTATGGGAACAGGTAAATAACTTTTCCTTATTCACTTTCTCCATACCTGTCATGATTTTATAGACCTCTATCATATTCCAGTCTTGGGTTCTCCCATGGAGTCACGCTTGCTGTAGTAGCTGGGCTATGCCTGTGAGCAGCCTCTCTGGACAAGGATGGCTCCTGTTTTGGCCGGTGGGGAGTGCAGTGTGGTGCCAAGAGGTATTCATTGAAGGGGAAGAGGCACACCAGCTCTGCTTTCATCTGCTCTAGGCTCTTCTTGCACTATCAAGTAGCACTGACTGAAGATGAAAACTAGGTCTGGGTAAACATCCAAGAAATTGGGCAAGTCCTGAAAATCCCCACGTTCCCCAGCTGCTTTGGAATAAGAGCAGCCCTGGCTTTGAGTTTTTGACTACTCCACATAGGTGCCATGGGAAACCCACAACAGGTCTTCCTACACTAAATCCCTTTTCTCCTGGCCCAAAGCAGGGACTGCAGAAAGGCATGAACGTGGTAGAAAATCTTTGAGGAACCTGTTCTGGCCTCTGAGAAACTTCTGCCTCTCCCGGCCAGTCTGGGAAAAATGCAGAGGAGAAAGGCACTGCAGCTCTGCATCTTGCATTGGCAGCAAGGTATAGAATGCTGGAGTGGAAGCAGTCCTGTGTTTTGGCTGGTGGGTATGTGCTGTCTTCTATCCTTTATAAGGCTGTAGAGACTTGCACAGAAGTACTGAAATTTTCATAAAGGGGCAAGGCTAATGCAGAGCCCTCAGCAAAGGGCTCGGGGCTGATTGAGAAATTTGGCTGAACCAGAAGCTGTGTGGTAGCGGGGCCAAGCATGGGAGGATAACTTTGTCCTTTTGCAGACACATAACTGCAACTGAGCAGCCTTGAGAAGCAGCCTCCCCCTCCCCACACACACACCTGGCCACCATTGTATTTTTTGTCCGCTTTAACAAGAGTCACTGCAGAGTTGTTTCGGTTTCAGAGCCAAAAGCCTGGTGCCCTTCCTGACATGAAATGTATGTACTGTAATTACCCCTGCTGGGGCTGCTCGCTCCTCCTTGGCCTTCTGTGCAGTTTTGACTCTTAGTCCTGGTGTGCATGGGGTGCTAACGGTGCATGGGGGGGGAGCAGAACCCCCCCCCTGCAGGTTCTGTTCTGCAGCTGGCACTGTAAAGAAAAGGTAAAGCCCCTCTTAGACTCAACAAGTGATGGTTTTCCCAAGCTGCTGACATTTCAAGAGTCATCTCAGTGACTGGAGTCTGTAAATTAAAGGGCAATCTCTTTGCTCAGAGTCAAAGCAAATCTGGTTATATTAATATCCAGCAGCTCCCTTTCAGGCTATATTGAATTATAGCAGCCTGTTAGCCAGTTAGATCCTGGAAAAATGAAAAGACCTCAGGGCCTCTCTCATTCCCCAGGGGTTGCTCTGGCAGAGGGAATTGTTTCCACATTTGATTGTCAAAATAAGAGCCAACTCTGTGTCCTCTTCCATAGCATCCTCCCAGCTGGGTACTCAGCCGGGAAAGCAGCAATACTGTTTAATGTCTATTCACTAAACACCAGTTCATTTCTAGAGTTAGGAAAGGAGCATTCAGCAGCTACTGCGTCATCCTGAACCCAAAACTTTAGCTCTTCCCTGTGTGCTTGAAAAAATAAATGTAAAGATTTCAAAGCTGTGCAAGACTAGAGCCCAGGTATGCTGCCCTTACCCTCGAGCCCTGTGCTTTTAACTGCATATGTCCATGCATACACAGACTATTATATGCATGCTAATGAACAAGGCACTGAAGAGAAGGCCTCATCCTTCCCCAGCAGCAGACACACTCCTTCCCACTGCACTGGGCATGGGCTGGTAGAGGAGAAACTCCTTATGGACATAGCAGGGGAAAATCCACTAATTCCCTTCACTGGCTGGGTCACCAAGAGGATTAGCCAGGAGTTTATCAGTCCCGAGCAGGTGGCCAGGGGCTTGTAAACAGCGGAGGGGAAGCAGCAGATTGTGTCCGTGCCTTCCCCAGCGCATTTAGCACCCGGCAAAGAGCAAGACAGGCTTCGTGAAGCGTTTTGCTCTGCGTGCCGCACTTCCCGACTCCTGCAGCTCTGGCGCCCTGAAGGCTGGTAAGAGATGGGATGGGGCCTGTCCTGGACTCTGTATAGAAGCAGGGTTGTCTGGGTTACTGGGAGTAGCAGCCCCTTCAGGGAGTAGCTCCTGTTTGGCTGTAGTTAAAGAATCCTAGAAATGTTGGGCTGGAAGGGACCTTGAGAGGTCAGCAGGTCCAGTCCCCTGTGCTGAGGTGGGATCCGGTAACTCTGGATTATCCCTTCCAAGCTGTCCAACCTGCACATAAAAACCTTTCAATGACGAGGATTCCACAGCCTCTCTGGGAAGCCGGTTCCAGAGCTTAACTAGACTGAGCGCGCCATCCCGATCATAGGATGGTTCGGAGAGGCCACCCCAGGCCCTGTGCTTTGGGGGGCCCTGCAGTGGCAGCCTGTGGGTTACTGGAGGCCTGGCATGGAGCGGCAGCAGGGCTTGGCCCTTCCGCATTCGCTGTGGGAAGCGGAACGACCCAGCAGCTTGTGCTGCTCCACCACCATCTCCCAGCCGGGTCTCTCAGCTTCACCAAGTGACACGGGCTCAGGAGCAGGGCGCAGCGACCCAGCTGGGATACGGTGGCAGAGTGGAGCAGGCTGCTGAGTCACTCTGGCTCCCACTGCCTCAAAGTGCAGGGTGGGCCAACTCCTACTTCTGCCCCACACCAGACTGCTCAGTAATCCCCCAGCTCGTCAGGCAAAGTGTGCGATGGGGGCAGGATGAGGGTGGAACAGGGGTGGAGTTTGGGGGAAGGGGTAGTTGCCCAACCCCCTTCTAGGGACGGCCCTGGAGTTAGATTTTAGGAAAAGTTTCTAACAATAGCTCCCTGCTGCAGAGTAAGCCCATTACTACTTGTCCCACCTTCAGCAGAGCTGAGAAACAATTGATCCTCACTCTCTTTGAAACACGCTAGAAATGTAGCCGTGTTAGTCTGGTGTAGCTGAAACAAAAACAGCTTTGAAACAGCACTTCAGATTTTGGGAGTTTTCTCAAGCCTAAACATGCCCCAGCACCTTTGCCTCCCAGGTCAGGTTTTCTAGACCTCTGAGCATTTTTGCTGCTTCCCTCTGGACTCTCTCCAATTCGTCCACGTGTTTCCTAAAGTGGGGCACCCAGGACTGGACACCGGACTCCAGTTGGGGGTCTCACCAGTGCAGAGCAGTGACTTCCTATGTCTTACCCATGCCACAGCGGTTAACACACCCCAGAATGCCATCCGCCTGTTTTGCAGCTGTATCGCATAACTGAGGGGACAGTCAAGCAGATGATAACAGCTCAGGTGAGCAGGGTGCCACGGTGTGCGGCCACGTGGCGTACGCCATGGCAACGCAGGGGCCTGGCCCTGACTCTTCTCTGGTTTCTCCTGTTTAGGGACTTGATGAGGAGACTGAGCTCCCCCTCACCGCCCCAGCGGCGGCTGCTCTACTTGCAAGCCTGGTGTAAGTGGCTGCCGTCTCTATTAAAGATGTCCCTGTCTACAGTACAGCTGCTCTGGAGGCTGGTGAGGGTTAGTGTCATCTGAGGCAGTGAGGAGGGTAGCTGGGCCGCACCCTGACTACAACATGGGCTTCCAGCCCTCCCTAGAAATGCAGGTTTCACAGACACAAATGGAGGGTTGACTGGTGGGTCTGAGTTCTTGCTCCCAGGGTGGGTCAGGCCAGGAGCACTGCAGGGCGATTGGACTCCCCTGAGGTAAGGCAGGGTGTTGGTTATTATTTAGGCAGGGTGTTACGCTGATGCTAATTTAAACTTAAAGGCTTTCATTAAATCCAAAGGCCAAAGGGTTTTTATACAAGCACAATTGTTTTTCTCCCCCTCTCCCTTCTTGGATTTAATGAAAGCCTTTATGTTTAAAGGCCAAAGGGTTTTTATACAAGCACAATTGTTTTTCTCCCCCTCTCCCTTCTTTTTCTATTATAAATTGGGAGGTTTTTCCCCTTTTTTCTCCACTCGCATCTGAGGAAGTGGGTTTTGCCCACGAAAGCTCATGATACTAAATATATTTTTGTTCGTCTGTGAGGTGCCACAGGACTGCGCCTCGGTTTTTTTGTTAAGTTACAGATGAACACGGCGACCCTTCTGAGACTTTTACACAATTACTGTAAATGTGCCTAAAAAATAAGTCATTTCCTACAGCCTAACAGTGCATGAGCTACTCCCATGGGTGCTGCCCCCCATGGGTGCTGGTCCACTTTAGGCAGGTCCCAGCAGTGAACCCTTGCAAAGGTGACTTTTTTCGTCCATTGTACCAATGGTGTGATGCTGTTACCAATGATCCAGCCCTTAGCCTTGGCCAGATGAAGGAGTTCTGTAATTAGCCAGTGATTTACTGAATCTGGTCGCCAATTAACCACATTTGACCTCTGTTACTTTACCCAAACTGTAACGAAGGCAAGACTTGTAGTTTGAAGGGCTGACTCTTCTTTCCCACGTGCTCACTCTTTTTGGTTCCCCGCCTATTGCTCATGCGAAGGTCCCAAGTCAATGTAAAACTCTCCCTCACCCAGGCCAAATGTAGGCCAGTCTTCCTGCCATGGGGTGGGGTGTGTGCCCCCTGCAATGACCCCACCCACAGTCTCCGGAAGCAAGATAGGGGCAGTGGGAAAAGACTCCGGCTGTGGAGGGTCCTGCCTCCCTTCGGCGAGGCAGGGCCCCAGCGCTGCTCAGAGCCTGGGGGAGAAGGCAGGGATAGCTGGCAGTGAGTGAATGTGGGCGCTCAGCTCTGAGGCCTGGAACGCTATGCCTCTGCTGCTAAGTGCTGCTCATGCTGCATCTGTGCTGGCCAAAGGTGGCAGGGCAGCACTGCGGGTGGCATGGGTGGCGGGTAATATAGGCAAGGGCAGGCATTGCCTTCCCAAAATTGCTTATGCTGCCCAGAGGCTGGGGGTGGGGAAGGGCTGGGACTGCAGCCTCAGCCCTCCAGGTGGCCAGGAAGGATTGGGCTTGAGGGCTGGGCTTGAGGACTGGGCTTGGCTGGGGTGGGGAGAGGTTGTCGAAGGGGCCTGGTCTGAAGAGAAGCCGTGTGCCTTTGGGGAAGGGGAGTAGCTTTGGGCAGAAGGGGCAAGGCTTGGTCTTGCCTTCCCCAATGGAGCCTTCACCAATGGCCCATGATAGCAGGGCAGGGCTGGATGTTATTCTCCTCATGGCAGTGCAGCTGAGAAATCCCCCATGCATTCTGCTTTTCCCAACAGAATTTATTCCGCACCCCCCTCATAGAGTTGATTCCTCACCCTGCTAACAATGCCCAGCTGCATTGATCCCCATGGCCCCTGAAAGCCAGGTGCCCAGGCCAGCATGACTGGCGGGATACAGCCTAGCGCAGACAGCGTGGCCGAAGGCACACTGCGAAAGGCTCCGACAGACAGAGTGGCGCAGGGCTGCCTGCCCTCTGTCCTGGCCGGGGCACTCACATTCTCCTGCTGCGGCTCGTCTCACCCGTCTCTCCTCTTCCTCTCCAGCACGCGTTGTTCTGCCACACGGTTTTCTGGGAGCTCACGTTCCATCTCCTGCGTGAGGTAAACGTCCCTTGCCAATACTGGCTCCGTCCCTTGCCTCCGGTGTCGGCCCCCTTGGCTGTAGTGCTCTCCTCAGCTCTCAGGCTGAGCGCGTAGGCGCAAATCTCCTGGGACCAGGGGCACTCCGCAAAGCCTTGGAGTTCTGTTCAATGTCTCCACTCAGCTTGTGCTCCCCCCTCTCCCTTTGGCTCCAGAGCCAACAGAGCCGGAGATCCAGAGACCTGGAGACAGTGCAGCTCGGGTGGAGGACGTTCTCCTATAAAACTCAGTCAGTTTGGCTAGCTTCCCCATCTCCCCCGAAAGGAGTCTAGGAGAACCACAGAGGCTGTGTCTACACTGGGCCACTTATTCCGGAAAATCAGCCGCTTTTCCGGAATAAGCTGCGAGCTGTCTACACTGGCCCTCGAATTTCCGGAAAAGCAACGATGCTCTACTGTACAAAATCAGCCACTATTCCGGAAAAACTATTCTGCTCCCGCTTGGGCATAAGTCCTTATTCCGGAACACTGTTCTGGAAAAGGGCCAGTGTAGACAGCCCAGTAGTCTTTTCCGGAAAAGCGCGTCTACATTGGCCACAGATGCTTTTCCGGAAAAAGGGCTTTTCCGGAAAAGCAGCCTGCCAATGTAGACGCTCCTTTTCCGGAAAAACTGAAAACGGAATAATATTCCGTTTTAAGCATTTCCGGAAATTCATGCCAGTGTAGACACAGCCAGAGAGCAAGGGCATTAATTAGACCCAGCCTATTTGCACACATTATACCAGAGCCCTGCCCGTACTGCTGAGGCCTCTCTATGAGGCCCAGAATGTTCCACCTGTGTCTCGTATATCACACAGCCAGCATCACAACTGCACCCAATGTGTGTGTGCCCAGTACAGCCTGATACCTGTGTGTGTGTGTGTGTGTGCGCGCGCGCACCCAATACAGCCCTGTGCCTTTTGTGCGCGTGTGTGCCCAGTACAGCCTGGTGCCTGTTTGTGTGTGGGGGTGTGTGTGCTGAGTACAGCCCTGTGCCTTGTGCTCATATGTGTGTGTGCGCACCCACCACCTAGTACAGCCCTGTCCCTGTGTGTATGTCCAGTACAACCATGGTGTGTGTGTCCCCACCCAGTACAGCTCTGTGCTGGTGGGTCATAGCACCCAGTGTCTGTGTGTTGGGGCGGGGGGGGGGGGGGGGGGGG